CCAACATAAGAATTATTATTAATTAACTAATTAATTAATAATAATCCAACAACTTTTACCAATGCTTCTTAACATCTCGTAACATCACAAATAATCCAAAAATATAATTTAATTAAATATTAATTAAATTAATGGGTGTTACATTCATCAACACCTCCATTATTGTCTTCATCAATATATCCATCAATGCAATCATCATTAAGAGAATCATTAAAAGGTAGAGACTTGGATCCCTTGTTTTGAGCCCTTACACTAATTGGCGGCTTCTTCACCAGAGTGTGACCCCTCTTAGATGTCTCTCATTTAGTTTCCGCTTCTGATGTATTCCTACAATATTTCCTGGTTTTTTGCACATATGACCATGGTCTTACATTAGTAATTGGATCCTCCATATTCTCTATGCCACTCACCATGACTCTAGTGCTTTTTGAGTTATTTTTCCCGGCCACCATTTCCTTCTTGTCGGACATCCATCCATATAATGCCCAAACCTACCACATGTTATACAAAGGAGATGTAAACCTCCATACTCAACCTTGTAATATCTTTCTTTGATAGCAAACATTGCCAAGAGTTACTTAGTCTGATCAACTTGGACACACAACCTAGCATACTTCCCTCTTTCCCTTGTTTAGCGTGTTTCTATCCACCTTAATCGTCTTCTCGATATGATCCCAAATAAAAGTAAGGACTATATCATCATATTATTCAATGGGTAGTCCAAAGATCCTTACCCAAAGTACAAGTTGATTAATAACATCATTTGATGGGCACAAATTGGGACTCCACTCCCTAACTGGTAAATAATGATCATAAATTAGCCATGACCCCTACGTTAGGGCAAAATTTTGACCCTCTTCACTTGTGAAAGTGACAAGATAGTATTCTAGCCTAATATCTATGATATTAAGGACTCCTCGCCTTGCCCACATTTATTGAGGTAGATTCTCTAAAGCTTGTAGTTGATCCTCCTTCCTATCATTTCCACAATCACTCGTTTCCTTTAGGACATAGCAATTTGGTTCTCTTTCTATTCAAATAGTATGAATTTTAGGTTGTCATACTTTATGAATTTCTTTTCTTCTATCGTTAGCCCTACAAATGACCGCCTTCTATTGAGAGCTTCTTCTTCAAATTGTATATAATCATTTGTTGTTTCATTAGCAACACTTATTTCTCTTGTAACCATATTTTTGTCCATGACAATATGTGAACTTTTTATTTTTATATTCTTTGTTTGTGCCAATGATATATTCGGTAATGGGGAGATGATTTGCTCCCCTTCTTTGATTCTCTTTATATTACATGTTTTTAAATTATCTTCTTCAACTTGATTATATTGATATGCATATGTAGACTTTAGAAGAAAGAGGTTCATAGAGACACTCGTACTTATTTTTATTATTATATATTTTTCTACGATAAATAATGTACCGTAAAATATCATTAGACTTTTTTAGTTAAAAAATATATACTTGTAAAAAAATGAATTGACAATAAATATAATACTAACTAACTCTTTTTTTAACATTTATTTTTTTTAAAATATAGATATTTTACAAGTTTAAAGATTTATCTAGTAATTAATAAATAAGGTTGAATGGTGGTTGATTGAGTATAAACATTGTTTATTAAAGTTGATGGAGAATTATCAATTGTTAATTAATTTAAAAGTGATTTACACTGAATTTAATAAAAATGATTATAATTCGATCTAACAACAACAATTGAGAAGACTTAAAATTAAGTGATTTCAGAACTGACCTTGAACTGGAAAATTGCGTCTTTATGGTGCCACTATCCACATATCACGCAGTTCCATTCCATTTGTCTCCCATGGAAGATTCGATCACAAATTTCAATAATTGATCCCGGGGCCCACAGTAGCGCATATAACGGATGAGGTAGGACTCATTTCAACTATTTGATGCAACGACAGTATCACGAGGTCCACTTCCTCGTCCCGTTCATACCAATGGAAACCCATGCCGTTATTAACTTATTATGTCTCGATTAGTAAAGATTAAACAACTTTAATTAATTCTTTATTATTCGTTAATTAACTGTGCATTAGTGTCGGTATCACGTGGCTGGCGTAGTACTCATTTACACGCTCCCCCGCATACTTCTCAACTCACTTTGATTTTCTTAATAAATCAAATTTCAATTATTGTAGCCGCACACTTTTTTTTTCTCCAACATTAACACTCCCTCAAGTATCCGTTTAAAAATAATTATTTTTATTAATATATAAATATAAATGAATAAAATTGTTTTAGAATCTTAAAATAATAATTTATATTCATTTATGTCTATCTTATTTATTTCAAAATATATATATTATTTATAAACATCTTATTTACATTGATAAATAATGAAAATTCAAAATCAAAATCATAAAAATTCTATAAAAAACTTTAAATTAATAGGAATAATATTTATAGAAAAAAATTTAAATACATTTATTTAGGTATGATTTTTACTTTTTTCTAATGAAAATATAATAAATATATTTAAATATTATTTAGAGAATAAATATAAAAGAAAATTATATATATATATATATATATATATATATATAGTTAAAAAAATTATATTTTTATTAAAAATAATAAAAATTACTTAAATAACTTAAATAATTGTATCTTAATTTTTTTGATGAAATACCAACGGCAAAAAATTCAGATTTATATTTTAAGAAATTCAAGTTACATATGTAGATGCATGTATTTTGATTATTTATTTTTTTTGGTAAAAGATGTTTTTAAAGGAAAGAAAAACCTACTAATTTTTTTTAGTAAAAAAAAAATTGAAATATTCTTTAGAGAAGTTATATTCTTTTTTTATCAAGTGTAGTTTTAGTATTTTATTTTTATTTTTAATTTAAAAATTAATCAATTTTGACTCATTTTTCATATTTCTAAAATTTGTAATAAAATTTAACTTTACCTTCATTTTAAAATTAATCAACTTTGACTCATTATACATATTTGTAGAAATTGTAATAAAATTTATTTTTACCTTCATTTTAAAATTAATAAACTTTGACTCATTATTCATATTTCTAGAAATTGTAGTAAAATAGTATTACAAATTAATTATTTACACATTAATAATCACAGTTTATCTTTTTTCTTACATTAACTTTAAAAGTTATTAATGTTGAGCATGATTTTCGGTAATAGAGATTTGATTTGAAAGAAAAAGAAGAGATGGATCTAATCTGCGGGTAGGGTCCACAAACTCTTTCTCCGTCTTTCTCTGTCTAATTTTATCTCTATCTTTTTCCACCTCCATTTCTTTTCAAACAACCTAATTTTAATTTTCACAATTACTATCAATCTAATCCTCTCTTTTCAATTTTTTTTCCGCTTAATCTCCTCCCTAATTAACTCCTTAATCAGGTTTGTTTATTATGATCTTCTCATGGTTGAATTTCGATTTTGAAAATATCCAATTTTTGTTCTTATAGGGAATGAAACAGAGTTTGTGAATATTCTTTCGATAACATTTCCTTCTACTGGTGAATTTTTTGAGCATTCAACGGCGTAGGAACGTTAACGATTGAACCTTTTTCTATAGAAAAAGGTGAGTTACTACTGAATTTAGATTGTGCAATTTACTGCTACGTAATGGGTTTAAATTTTCTGTGGAACAAAATTCAATTTTTAATCTGGATTTTTAAATTAGAGATATGTGGTTTTTATTTAATCTGGATTTTCAGCTTTGTTTCTAAGGATCAACCACCAGGAACTGTAAGCAATTAAATAATTGGTTGGACCTTGGAAAAAAAAGAGCTTTTGTAATGAGCTTTCTGTATTATGTGATCAAAATTGCGGTTGCGATGTGGTAATTGAGGTAGTAAAAACCTTGACATATCGATTTGGGCCACCAAGCCGGTTTGTAAGGATGATTTAGGTCGAACTCTAATTCTATCATGGTATGACGAGCCTCGTTTAAGATCCGGTGGCCCGCCTGCCATCAAGTTTCTGCTATTGGGCAACCCATCATGTATTTTCACACTTTAGATATATAGTTCTGGCCGTGAGGAGGTGTGTTAAGAGTCTCACATAAGATAATATATGACTTATACATGTCCTTATAAGTGGGGGCAGTCCCCACTCTACAAACCAGTTTTGTAGGGTTGAGTTAGGTCCAACCATATTTGTTAAAATGTGAGCGGGGTGTTAAGAGTTTGTAGGGTTGAGTTACGCCCAACCATCTTTGTTAACATGTGAGGGGGTGTTAAGAGTCTCATATCAGATAATATGACCTAAACATGTCCTTATAAGAGGGGTCACCCTTTTAGTCCAGAACTAGACATCTAAAGTGTGGAAATAAATGGTAGGTGGTCCAATAGCAGAAATCTGAAAGCAGGTGGTCCACCGGATCTTAAACCAGACTCTAATACCATGTTAAAGAAATGTGGTTGAGCCTAACTCAACCCTACGAAACCGGCGTGTAGGGTGAGGATTGTCCTCACTTATAAGGACATGTTTAGGCGATATATTATCCAATGTGAGACTCTTACCAATTTAAAATCGCTAATTATTAATAAACTTTAGAATGTTCTGTTTCATACCTTTAACCATTCACATTCAGTTTGAGTTAATCTATTTGTGAAATTAGAATTATCCATACAAAGTCCTGGTCTATCCTCCAGAAAATGAGAATTTTGGAAGTAGCATTATTTCAGGTCATTAGATTACACCTTGAAATACTTTCTTTCAACTGCTAAATTGAAGTAATATTTCTTTAAGGAAAAATATGTAACCGGTATATTCAATTTAATTCTTGTGTCTTGTTCTTGTCTTGGCAGTAGCTGTCCCTCTTAAATATGAAACTTGTGCATTGTAATTTGTAATTTGGTTATTTTAGTATTTCTGAAAAGCCTAAATTGGATGTAATTCTCTTTATTTTGCTTTTGTATGCAACTGATTTTCATCCTTAAATGTTTTTTAGATTTTAGCAGCTGTTAGCACTTCCGACCCCTCCTTATAATGGAGGATGTTCAAGACAAGTTACCCTCTGACTCCTCTACAAAAATTGCTGAAGAGACATCACTGTCCAAACATGTTGAAGACTTGTTGCCCTCTGAATCTTCTTCAAAAATGACTGAAGAGACACTTATGGAAGAACACGTTGCAAACAAGCTACCCTCGGACTCTACAAAAATTTATGAAGAGACACCACTAGCAGAACATGTTGAAGATATGTTGCCCTCTCAATCTTCTTCAAAAATGACTGAAGAGACACATGCGGAAGAACATGTTGAAGACAAGCTACTCTCTGACTCCTCTACAAAAATTGCTGAAGAGACACCACTGGCAGAACATGTTGAAGACGTGCTGCCTTCTGAATTTTCTTCAAAAAATGCTGAAGAGGTACATTTGGAAGAACGCGTTGACGACAAGCTACCCTCTGAAACCTCTTCAAAAATTTCTGAAGTGACACCAGTGGCAGAACATGTTGAAGACAATCTACTCTTTAATGGCTCTACAGATATTACTGAGACACCACTTACGGAGCCACTTACGGAGCCCTCTGAAGAAAATACTGTAGTGATAAACCTACCATATAATCAATCTTCCACAGAAATTCCAATTAGTAATGGAGAAGTGAATTCTGGCTCTCACTTAACAGTGCATGAGTTCCCAAAGTTATCAGTGTTGTCAGATGCTTCTGATGGTCACACTATAATACCGGACGAAGATGTTTCTGTAGCTAATTCAGCTTCAATTCCAAATGACAAGGTGGATTTAACAGAAAGAAGCGGCCAGCTAACGTTGGTTGAAGATTCTGGACCAGGTGCTACAGAAGATATCTCTGACAGGCATGAATTGCAGGTTGATGTTACTAATGCTGCTGCTGATAATGAGATTAGACTTTCTGCTTCTTCTGAAACAAATGATTTTTTAAATGATCACAATCAAGTAAAGGTGGCTGTTGGAGCAGTTGACTCACCCTCTCAAACCAAGATGGTTAATATAAAAAGAGGCCTTATTGATACCACACCTCCATTTGAATCTGTCAAGGAAGCTGTTTCTAAGTTTGGAGGAATTGTGGACTGGAAGGCTCATAGAATCCAGACCGTGGAGGTATGTTTGTCTTCATTTTTGTGTGATTATTATTTTTAATTTACATTCTTCACATTTCTTGCATAAAATTTCAAATCCTATTGCTTTTCAAGGAGGGAGTTATGTTGACTATTGTGATTGCTTCTTAAATTTTATACAATATCTGTTAGAAAATAGGCAAGAGACAAATTTTGTTATGGGGGACAAAAAAAACGAGCAATAGTCTTCAGTTCAGTATCAATTTGGTTATCAGTGGTAATTGCTGTAGTTATGCTACAACTGCAATACTGATAAGTTAAAAGGATTACTTTGGTGGCTGTTTGCATGTTGGTATGTTGATAATAATAATGTGAAATCATCTGTCAGCCTAAGTCACATTATAGGGCTAATTAGTAATCATTACAAGCATGCACAGATATAGCATAAATGAGACGCTGTTATTTGCTGTAGATTCTGTCAATGCAATTTATGTAGCATATCAACAAAGTTGCCTTTACATAAGCTTTATGTGTCCGAATTAATTATCCTGCCATTTTCATGCTAGATCTTGAGATACAAACTGTCCTTTTCTTTGTACAACAGTACACGTATTTTTCTAAACTTTTTATAGGAGCAGGTATGTGCTATATCTCAAATCTATGAAATCGTAATATGTAGACCTGTTATTTTGAGATGTTAGTGCCTGTATGTGCAGGGACGGACCTTTGCTCAACCATGTGTAGGCTTGTGCCCCCACTATCTTTTTATATATTTGTTCATGAATATTACTTATATGGATACTAGTACTATTTATTTATTGAAAGCAAGTTTGAAGATTTTATATGGTCCACTTAGCCCCAGCCGTGCCGTTCTAAACATCTTTGATATTGGTTTTATTTCCCTTTAGTTATATGATTATAATAATATTATATTATGCTCTGATCCGTTTTGAGTGTTAAACATTGTAAAGTTCTTTTGCTTATGAACTGTATGATTTTTCCTTGCTTAAACCTTTATTTTAGACTGAAATCAATCAGGAAGTTAATTACAGATACTTTCCACACAATATTGATGCTTTCTGATGTAATAAAACATATTTTCTGTGTGCTTCCTGTCACAGAGGATAAATCATTTCTACTTTGACCTTGCATGATTTTTTGCTGGAACTGTATTGAATTTTTTTATATTTTTCTCTGAATGCGCAGAGGCGCACTCTAGTTGAACAGGAACTTGATAAAGCAAATGAGGAGATCCCAGAATACAAAAAACAAGCAGAAGCGGCTGAACAGACAAAAGTCCAAGTACTAAAAGAGCTGGACAGCACAAAGAGACTTATAGAAGAGTTAAAGCTTAACCTAGAGAGGGCACAAACCGAGGAGCATCAGGCAAGACAGGACTCGGAACTTGCAAAGCTTAGAGTGGAAGAGATGGAGCAAGGTATTGCAGACGAATCTAGTGTTGCAGCCAAGGCACAACTTGAGGTTGCTAAAGCTAGGTATACAGCAGCCATTTCAGATTTAGCAGCTGTGAAAGAGGAGCTAGAAGCATTGCGCAAGGAATATGCTTCCTTAGTGACTGATAGAGATGAAGCTATTAAGAAAGCCGAGGAGGCAGTTGCAGCATCCAAGGAAGTAGAGAAGTCAGTGGAAGATTTAACTATTGAATTAATCGCCACTAAAGAGTCATTGGAGACTGCTCATGCCGCACACTTGGAAGCAGAGGAACATAGAATAGGAACAGTCATGGCAAGAGATCAAGATTCTCTCAATTGGGAAAAGGAACTTAAACAGGCAGAAGAGGAGCTCCAGAGAATCAATGGGCAAATGTTGTCTGCAAAGGATCTCAAATCCAAACTAGAAACAGCCTCTGGTTTGCTGCTTGATTTGAAAGCTAAATTAACTGCTTATATGGAATCAAAGTTAAAGCAAGAAAGTGATGAAGAGCTTTCACAAGGAGGCCTAGAAGAACCAGGAAAGAAGACACACACTGAAATACAAGCAGCTGTGGAATCAGCCAGAAAGGAACTTGAGGAGGTAAAACTTAACATAGAGAAAGCAAATACGGAGGTTATTTGCTTGAAGCTAGCTGCTACATCTCTAAAATCAGAACTGCAACAAGAAAAATCAAGTCTTGCCTCCATCAAGCAAAGAGAAGGAATGGCCTCCATTGCAGTTGCATCTCTAGAAGCTGAGTTGGATAAGACTAGATCAGAAATAGCTTTGGTACAGATGAAGGAGAGAGAAGCCAAAGAGCAAATGGCTGAACTTCCAAAGAAGCTACAACTAACAGCTGAAGAGGCTAATCAGGCCAACTTGCTTGCTCAAGCAGCCCGTGAAGAACTGCAGAAAATAAATGCAGAAGCAGAACAGGCCAAGGCTGGAGTAAGTACCTTGGAAAGCAGGTTACTTGCTGCTCAAAAGGAGATAGAGGCTGCAAAGGCTTCTGAAAAGTTGGCAATAGCAGCAATTAAAGCATTGCAAGAGAGTGAGTCAAATAGAAGCAAAAATGAAATGGACCCTTCCAGTGGGGTAACACTTTCTTTGGATGAGTACTATGAGCTTAGCAAACGAGCTCACGAGGCAGAAGAGCGAGCCAATATGAGGGTTGCTGCTGCTAATTCTGATGTTGAGAAAGCGAAGGACTCTGAATTGAAATCCTTCGAGAAGTTGGATGAAGTGAATAGAGAGATGGCTGCTAGAAGGGAATCCTTGAAGATGGCAATGGAAAAAGCTGAGAAGGCAAAGGAAGGTAAATTAGGTGTAGAACAAGAACTAAGAAAGTGGAGGGCTGAAAATGAGCAACGGAGAAAGGCTGGCGAGTCTGGTCAAGGAGTAGTTGACCAGAACAAAAGCCCTAGAGCTAGTTTTGAGGGGAGTAAGGAAGCAAATAATTTTGACCGATCCCGAAACACATCAAGTCCGAAGGCTGATATGCATGCAGAAAATGATGAAGGTGGATCGTCACCGGAATCAAAACACGGAAAAAAGAAGAAATCTATGTTCCCACGAGTTTTGATGTTCTTTGCTAGAAGAAAAAAACATTCAAACAAGTCAGGGTAATCACAAACTGAAATTATATGCATTGTTATGTTGCAGATATCTTACCTCTCATCCTGTTGGAGATCTCAGTGACTTGAAATGCTGAACTACACAAAGCTGTATCGAGCCAATTTATGGTGATAACTTCGTGTATGGTTTAATTGGATCATAATCTCATTTGATGGATGGTATATGGTTGACTGCTTAGTGTTTTATGAGGACTTGAAGTTCATCCGTGTTGGGATAAGAGAAAATAAGATGATTTTATATTGTGTATAGTCTTCAGTTATACTGAACCTCGGCTTTTGTAAAGATTTGTTTTGAGATTCGATTGAATGAAAGAAAAAAATTCAAGTTTGTGATTCGAAGCACTTTGAATGGCATGGTGTGTGCTTATTTGAAACTCATTATTTTGATTGGTATTAGAAATAACTCATTGTTTGAAAATGGATTGATTCACAAAGTGAGACTATTGTGGACCTTCTGATGCCCACAAAGACTAAAGTCGTGATTTTATAGTGTATAGTCTTCAGTGATTAAGCATAATGAGTCTAATATGTCATACAAACTTATTTAATCGAGTAATAATTTATGTTAGTTAAATGTGTTAGATATTTAGTCAACATAGGAACTGAAACAAAACTTGAAAGAGAAAATATTTTAGGAATCAGAATTTGAGTCATTTCCCCAAAGCTAAAAGAAACAATATGGTTTTATGGATCAAACCAAGTTCCATATAACTAGTACATGTATTTGTGTCAGAACTAAGAACTAGAACTTGCAAGGGTCTGAATAATAGTTTTATGCCATGGATTGGAGAGATGCTCCACAAGGTTATCAATTGGTCCAACATGAGTCACTGAAGCTTGTACAAAGATGCCAAGTATTGCCACCATTGCAAGTCGCCCTGTAACCAGAATATTTACAACTATGAAAACAAGCTTTCGAGTGTTATATTAACCGACAAAAAGCGAAATAACAGAAAAAGTTTACCATTCTTGATCTCTTTAAGCTTCCAGCCATGAGCATTTTTACTGTCTTTAGCTAGACCAAGAGGGTTAAACAGAGGACCCCCAGGATATCTGTTTGTTGAAACAAGATTATATACCTCAACTAGTGTACAACAGTGAAAGAAAGCACAGAATCAGATTCAAAAGTGCAAGTGTGTGTATGTGTGTGTTTTGTGAGCGTGCTGCTGTTGGAAATGGAAATACCCTGGCTCTAAGCCTTCCAGTGAAGCTTCCAATCCAAAGAAGGAACCTTCTTTAGCTTGAGATCCAGGACTTACAAAATCCATGTACCTTCTTGTTTCAGCATACCTGTGAAAGTGATAAAAATGAAGAAATTACACATCCTATGAAGGAAAATGAAAATATGAAAACCTCAACTCGGAGAGCAGAAGTTGGAAGCCTGTGACCAGAATCCTACCCCATCAAAAGTAGTTGAACAGCAACGAGCGTCCCTGTGTTCGCAATCTCGTATTTTACTGCACCAGCTTCAAACCAAATTGGTATGGTACTAACTCCTGCGACGCGAAGTAGCTGCACAGATTTCCAAAAGTTCAGAATGAAATGTTCAACTGGAACATGTTTCTCTTCCCATAATTGTTTTTAGCTGACATTATTAAATGAAACAAGTTATGCTATGAGTTGTGTGACTCACATCTGTGACTAGAATTCCCAAGACACCAAGCATTGCAAAGCGAGAATGAACCAATTCTGCTTGCACATACCACTTTAAGCTTTCAGGATCCTCTCCAAGTCCAAGTGGGTCGAACCCAAAATCTCCAGCCAAACTGAAAACATTGTCTTTAATGTTATTATATAACTTGAAAAGTTAAACTAGCACTGGCATCATAAGACGAGTTTAGGTGCCAAAATGCAGAGAGGTGTAAGAGCTTACGTTCCATCGAGATAAGATGGAGAATCAAGTCCAGGGAGCCATGTCGGTCGCTGTTGTGCTGCTGCACAAACTTGCTTATAACGTGGTGCAACTCCTGTTTCTGCAGCAGCAGGCCTGAGCCAGTAAAGTCCTGCTGCTGAAGGTTTACCAATGGTATTGATGTTGATTAAAGAATGTTTCTGAAAATGGAAGCTTCTTGCTATAGCTGCAAGTGCGACCATTGTTTCTCTAATTATCTGTTCCTATTCTAGGACGACAAATCAATTGTTCAAAATTGCTACTCTTTCACAACCACATGTATTATTGTTGTTTTAGTTAAGAAAAATAAAACATGTGGCCCACTTATCCAATGTGGTCACAGATGGTTGGATGAAAAACGTCTGCTTCCAAAGCCTCCACATACATTTCAGTTTTTGCAGACCTTTTAAAATCCATATTCTTGAAAGCACAAACATAGAGAAGGTCCCTACCACCCAACACTAAATTTGGGATTGGTAATCAAGGAAAAAAGTAGCAATTAGAAAGAAGATAGAATTGTGGGACCAATAAACATTAGCTTTTGAAACAAAAACAAATATACTTAGTACAATTTGACAAACCATAATTAGTTGATTTGAGTTCCTCATCAACTACACCTTACATATCCTAATTAAAAGGTTTAAAATGAAACATCTGAAATGTCACTAATTAAGCTACAATAATAGCTAACAATTAGGTCAATGGCTGTGCCCAGAATTATTATCGCCTGTTGGATAAGCTGAACGAACTAACTTTCATTGGTGTGGCTATAACCAAGGGAGCTTCAGGAGAATCAGTTACTGCAAACTTGTCGTGCATGAATCGACTCTCAACAATGGAATCATCCCTCAGAACTATCTTGTAGCAGTAGCAGCTCTTTAGACCCTGTTGGCTGCGGTAGCACTCATGAGAACCATCCTTGACCTGTTGGAAGTTCCATATCACACTAAACTTCCCCACTGTAGCTACTATGTGCCGCTCCTGCCTCCCATTCTCTGTCACCTATGTAACCAAAAAAGTCCAAATTGTAGTAAATTTTCTTTCCAGAAGAATACAGAAGATGAAACAAAAAACCAATAATGACATTTTTAAGTAGATGCAGAAACATAAGAACCACTATCAAACTACAGAAAAACACCGTGCCAAAATACAGAAAAAAGGACCACGCCAAACTACAAATCTACAACAATCTCTATTTCCAGCATCACAACAAACATAAAAAACCAATAAGGTTACGTATAAGTAGAAACTTAGAACAAAAAATAGAATATAGAAGTCAGGAGACCAGTCAAATAAGATGTCAATGCAGAAAGTTTCCATTCAATGGGTGTGGGAAGCAAGGGAATAAAATAAAAACGAAATAAAGAACCATGAAATTAGTGAATAAAGGAGTTGTTAGGGAGGTTTGTGCCTCTCCAAGACTTTTGTTGCTAGGTTGAGAGAGGAGCACCGATCATGCAATGGTAGGGTTTAGGGGTTGAGTGGGTAAAGGAAGGGTATAAGGTTTAGTGTGTGTTTAGTGGGTAAAGGAATTGTTCGGGAGGTCCGTGCCTCTACTGGAAGGTGAGTGCAATGCTGTTCAGCAATTTCTGGTCCAGTTCCTATCAATGCATGATAATGTTTTTGGCTAGCCAATTCAAATTTCAAAGGCAATGCTTCAGTTTTCAGAAAATTAATAATGAGCAATGCAGCAAATTATGGAGAACAGAGGCAAGATTATTGGGTGAAAGCAATGACAAAGACTATAAATCCATCTACGGAAGCAATACCAAAAGTAAATGCATCTATATGCAATGCTCTTTAGATGCTATGTAAATGTATATGTATCAAAAGTAAATGTAATCTCTATGCAATGCTCTTTAGATGCTATGTATCAAAAGTAAATGTATATGTATCAAAAGTAAATGTAATCTATATGCAGTGCTCTTTAGATGCTATGTATCAAAAGTAAATGTATATTTACAAGGCTATACACTATTTGCCCTTTTGACAACCAAATGACATTTGAGGTAATCAAGCACATAAAGCAAGAAACTGTAAATTTATCGAATAAACTCACCCAAGAAAACTGAGCACTGTGGAATTTGTTATTGACTCCAGCTAAATGTGAGTCGAGAGGGTTGAGCTTGAGTAACCTTGGAGCAGCAATCCTATTTCCCATTCTTCCAGCAAAACCAGTTTTACTGTTTCCATCTTTATCAGTAAAGAGAGTACAAATAACAACCAAGTAAGTATCTGTTGTTCCCACAATCCACTTTCCATCAAAAGTAACATCCACATGAGTAACCGGCGAGCCAAGTCCAGGAAATGCGGTTTTCGCCTGCCTCATAGAGTTAATTGAATACAGCCTAATCTTCCCATCTAGTGAACCAACGACAACAGAACCATCACCAGTTGTAGCGAAGCACTGAAAGTTTGTCCCCCTGGAAAACTGATGACCTTGATCCCAATTCAACACAGGTGTACTCATATTAGAGTTAGAACCAGCAAGATCCTGAACTATTCCATGACGGTCACGCATATCCCACCTACAAAGCCTGTTATCATCCAATCCAAGAAAAGTAGAACCCGAAGGATCTAACTGAGAACTCTTACTATCATTCGTGATATCTCTCATTGTAATCTCAGTACCATCCTTACCAAATTTCCATTCCGTCACAACCTTCCCCGTCTCAATATCAAACTGATGAAGCCCGGTCGAACGCAGCTTACTTTCATTCAATGGACTCATCAGAAGCATGCTGGTTTCAGCTTTCATGAGAAGCGTCTTCTTGGGAGTAGATTGCACCATCTTCGAAGCCGATGCTGAACCACCCCCAAAATTCACAAAAGCACCTTTCCCGTGAATACCATGCGCGAAATTCTTCACCACCTGAATCCCATTTTCACCGACAAGGAAACTATTTTCCAGAGCACCCAACGCAAGACTCTGAATCCCACCATTCGCCGCCTCCTCAAACTCCTCCGTCAAATCCTGACTCGCTCTAACTGGGGTAGCAGACGCCGGACTCTTGGAGAAACTATCATCAGCATCCTCCCACATAGAATCATCCGCGGCTTCCGGATTCGCCCACCCAATAAAATCCTTCCCATAAACCTTA